AAAAAAAAAAAAAAAAAGGAGCATTACCATAAGACCTAGTCTCATTTTGCAAGGCTGGCAAGCATACTATTAGGAATATAAGACAGCTCTAGGCAGAATTTCTAGAATGCTCTTCTAAGGTGAACATGGTCTGCTCTGTGCTTATAAATGAGCAGGATCAAGGAAATCCGGCTGAGTGATCTATGTGGCTCAAGTTCTCAGAGCAACAAATGAAGATTCTTTTGCTTTGTCTGACGCATGTCCAGTCTCAGAAGCTGGGCAGGCTGCGGTAGAGAGAGCACAGCTCAGGCAGTATGTGGGAGCAAGGAGCACTGCCTGAGGGCCCAGGCCCGGTATCTGTACTCTCCCGTTCCTCAGGACCCGAAGGAAATGTGGGCTCAGACCCACCACCATTGGGGTTCCCTTAGTAAGTCATCCCTTTGGTTAAGGGGAACAGGAGGTGATGAAGGGGGCCTGCTTCTGTGGGGCCTGCCTTAGAAGAGAGCTGTGGGAATACAGGGGAACAAGCAGGAGAGCAGTGGCATTTCTGCAGGAGTGGATCCTGAACATCTCCAGAAGCCTGAGGAGCTTTGTTAAAATGCAGTTTTCAGGGCCCATGCCAGCTGCCTGAATTAAATGGTCGAAAGAGTGGCATTGCGATCTGCATTGTCACCAAGCTCGCCAGGTAACTTTTGGTGCTCCAGAGAGTGCAGTACAAGCCAGCTACAGAAGATGGGGTCAAGGCGGGGGACCCAGAGTGGGCAGTTGGTTGGGTCTGTCACCTGAGGCCATGTCTTTCTCCCAGAGCTGGCACACTCTCCCTTCCCTGTGCAGCCTCCCCTGCGTTGCTATCTCTCTTGTGCTTTCTCCAGTTCCCCGTCAGACTCGTTAGGGTATAGGATGCTAGGCAAAGGAACAGATTCTGGCTGTCAGCAGGCAGTGCAGGAGAGGCCGGGGGCCTGCCCCTACTGGGGACTGTTGGCATTCTTTCCCTCCATGTTCTCTTTTGCTTTGCTTTCTCTCTCCTTTTTCATTTCTTTTCTTTTTTTTTTTTGAAATGGTGTTTAGCTTTTGTTGCCCAGGCTGGAGTGCAATGGCACAATCTCAGCTCACCGCAACCTCTGCCTACCAGGTTCAAGCAATTCTCCTGCCTTAGCCTCCCAAGTAGCTAGGATTACAGGCATGCGCCACCACACCTGGCTAAGTTTTGTATTTTTAGTAGAGATAGGGTTTCTCCATGTTGGTCAGGCTGGTCTCAAACGCCCGACCTCGGGTGATCTACCTGCCTTGGCCTCCCAAAGTGCTAGGATTATAGGTGTGAGCCACCATGCCCAGTCTCTCTCCTCTTTTTCTTTCTGACATTCTGGCTCCTGGTTTCTTCTGGTTCTGCAAACTCATTAGACAGAACTGTTTTAAGGTTGTGTTGAAAGCCCACAGTGGGCCTCTGCATCTCCTCAGCCCTTAATGGTCAAAGACAAATCAGGGTTGCTCCTTTGCCTATTAATACCCCATCTGGATAGCTCCGCCCAGTGTTCACTAGGAAAGGCAAGACTTCTGCAGGGAAAGTCTGCAACCTCTTCCCTGTGGGCTTCCTGCTGGTCTGAGAGAAGCCCATTTGCACTTCAGGCTGGTGCTCAGAGGCACCCACCTTCTCTGCCAGCAGGAGAGGCACCGGGACTTGGACAACAGACACACTGAGCAGAATCTTGCCTGAGGAAGTCTCCTGTCAGATGATGCTCTCTGACAGGTAACTGTGATGTATTGGGTTGGTTAGTTTTTTTTTTGAGACAGAGTGTTGTTCTGTTACCCAGGCTAAAGTGCAGTGGCACAATCTCAGCTCACTGCAACTTCTGCCACCCGGGTTTAAACAATTCTCCTGCCTCAGCCTCCTGAGCAGCTGGGACTACAGGCATATACCACCACGCCCAGCTAATTTTTGTATTTTTACTAGAGATGGGGTTTCACCATGTTGGTCTCGAACTCCTGACCTCGTGGATCTGCCCGCCTTGGCCTCCCAGGGTGCTGGGATTACAGGCGTGAGCCAAGGCGCCTGGCTGGGTTGCTTAGTTCTTACTGACTTTGATTTCTATCCAGGAAGGCAAGGCCAAGTGTATGTACTCCTCATCTAGCCTATTTGTCATAATAAGACAAATACATTTACCCTTCGGCACCTTCCTTGTTGCCTACAGAGGCCTCAGAGTTCACGAACATTTGTTCGCAAATACCATCATACTTGCAAGAACAACATTTTTCAAGCCAGTGGCTGAGGAGAAATGGCCAGACATCAGGAGACGTGTGTGCAGGACACAGGGCTTGGGGCAACAAGGGAGGGGCAGGCAGAAAAATAGTTTTGAGGTGATTCTCTTACCCGCTTCATCCGGACACTGCGTCGCTCCAGGGAATTTCGAACAAAAGGTGGCTTTTTGGACAGAGTGGAGCTGTCACTATCACTCCGATTCAGCTGCAAGAGAAAAGTCATGAAACATTAAACATGGTCAGAGTGCATTCTGGAAGGTGCACTGAGGCCCAGAGGGAGGTCAGGTTCCTCCGCTCAGCCCAGTCCTTCCTTTCCTTCTGCAAATACTCAGACTTTCCTGTCCCAGGTTTCATTCTGACCTTTCCTTTCTTTATAAGTGCACATTCATTGAGCGTGTACTATGCATGATACACACTGCCTCATCTCCATGCTAGTATCTGCACGATGCTAAATGACACGAATATCCCCTTTGAACCTTTCCAACAACCCCATGTGATAGGAGCAAATCCATTTCACAAATGAGGTGACAGAAGCTAGAGGTTGCATAACTGGCCCAAGGTTGGCGAGCTGGTCAGCCGCACAGCAAGGCTGGATGCTGGGCGGTGTGACTTCAGAGTATACTGCCCTCTTGACCAACTACACAAAGGGCTGTTTGCATCAACTCTTCCCTGGTGCCTACAGGGCCTGCCTTTACTGACTCAAATAGAGCCACTGGCAAGATGGATGATAAAAAAAAAAAAAAAAAAAAAAGGAAGCTCAAAGGCAAAGCCTCAGGGACTTTGGATATGATGGGGCAGATCATAACTCTCCTCGTGGGCATCCCCTCAATCACTGAATTATCTATACTCCCCCCAGAGGGCTAGTATTTCCCATCTAAGACCAGAAATCATGCCTGCAGTCAGGATGGGAAACTTCTGTATTGAGAGTGTGCCCCACCCTTTGAGGAATGCGAGAGAGTGGGTAGGATGACAGCACCCCCTGGGAGGTGGGTGCAGGCTGGGGAGTTCTTTCTCGAGTCCTATTTCTAAAGTCGGTGGGGCTGTCATGGGCTGATGCTATTGTGCTTGTGTGTCTAGCAGCTGTCAGTTCACTGCTGCAGGTCTCCTGAGAAACTGTTTCTGTGGTTATTGATAATTATTTGTGATAATGATATTAATAGTCCTGCTAAGCTGATAAACACAGCAACTCCAGGGACTGACGGATGAAATAGCCACAGGGCTAGGCAGAACCTCAACCAGAACCAGACGCTGCAGAGTAAAAATAATGACTGCCACATGGATAGAGCACCTGCTATGTGCCAGATGCTTTAGTGACAGTTACATTTAATCATCAAACGATTCTAACATGATGGGAACTGAGGCCCAGAGAGATTAAGAAGCTTGTAAAGTTGAATAGCTGGGGAGCATCAAAACCAGAGTTTAAGGCCCAGTCTGTTTGATTCCAAGGGCACCAGCTCTTATGGCTCCAGCCTGCAGGTAGGGCTCAGAGATGAAACTAATGTGGAGGTGGAAGGGTGTACCATCTTGACAACTAGGGTAGATTCATATAAACTGGCTGCATGTGGTACCAGAAGGGGGCTTTATCTTACTTTTTTTTTTTTTGAGATGGTTTCACTCTTGTCACCCAGGCTGGAGTGCAATGGTGCTATCTTGTCTCACTGCAGCCTTGACTTCTCTGGCTTGGGTGATTCTTCCCCTTCAGCCTCTCAAACAGCTGGGACTAAAGGCACATGCCACTGTGCCCACCTAATTTTTGTATTTTTTGCAGACAAGATTTTGCCATGTTGCCCAGGCTGGTCTCAAACTCCTGGGCTCAAGTGATCCTCCCGCCTCAGCCTCTCAATGTCCTGGGATTACAGGTGTGAGCCACTGTGCCCCGCCTTTTATCCTATGTTGTTTTAATCTAGTGGTGGCACGTGAAGGATGTGTCGGATATATATTGTCAGTGTCCTACTGGCCAGAAATGGGTGTCAGGATAACTGATCCTTAAGTTGTAGTTGTTTACATGTTAAATACTATGTTATATAAAAGAGAGACGGCGCCAGGCGCAGTGGCTCATACCTGTAATTCCAGCACTTTGGGAGGCCGAGGCAGGTGAATCACCTGAGGTCAGGAGTTCGAGACCAGCCTGACCAACATGGAGAAACCCCATCTCCACTAAAAATACAAAATTAGCTGAGGGCAGTGGCTCACCCCTGTAATCCCAGCACTTTGGGAGGCTGAGGCAGGCAGATTACCTGAGGTCAGGAGTTCGAGATCAGCCTGACCAATATGGTGAAACCCTGGCTTTATTAAAAAAAAAAAAAAAAAAAAAACTTTAACTGGCCGGGTGCGATGGCTCCTGTAATCTCAGCACTTTGGGAGGCCAAGGTGTGAGTAGCACTTAAGCTCAAGAGTTCAAGACCAGCTTGGGCAAAATGGGGAGACTCCGTCTCTACTAATAAATAAATAAATAATATATATATATTTATATATATATTTTACATATAATATATATATCTATGAATATGTCTGGGTACAGTGGCTCACAACTGTAATCCCAGCATTTTGGGAGCAGAGGTGGGCAAATCACCTGAGGTCAGACTGGCCTCGAACTCCTGACCTCATACCTGCCCACCTCAGCCTCCC